AGCAGACTTGTCACTGGATTGGATGTTGGGTATGAGAAAAGAAGAGGAACCAGGGATGCCTCCGGGGTGTTTGGCCTGAGCAGCTGAGTGGCTGGAGGTTTGCTTATGGAAGTGTGGAGCACTGGAGGGGGAGTTGCCAGAATGTAGAGCGACTTGGCGGCGGGTGGCAGGGCTCAAAAATTCAGTGTGGCCACGGTAAGTCTGAGATACCTGTTAGATGTAGAGTGGGCACTTGAATGTGTGGTCTGGCGATCAGGGGGAGGATGGAACTGGGATGTATTTGGGTGTCATGAGTGTGTAGCTGCCACTTACAGCTGGGATGGATGCACCCACTGGGGGAGTGAGTGTAGACGGAGAACAAGGGGTTGAGGTCTAGGGACACATCAACGATGAAGGTTGGAACCAGGAGAGATGTAGTCAGGGAGGCAGGAGGGAAACCAGGAGAGGTCGAGTCCCCCAAACCCAGAGTCTTTTAAGGAGGGAGTCACTGGGCAGGTCCAGTGCTTTCCAAAGTGGGGCCTGTGACCTTGATGGGAGTAGCTCTTTCTATAGATATGGTCAAGTTATTTGAGATTCGTGAGAGTGTGAAGGAAGACCAGCCTAGTAGCTCTCATGCTTAGTGGGAGCCGGATCAGCTAAAACAGCCTTTGCTTGAAACCATTCTGTGCTGAGAAGAGATGGAGTTCAGGGGTTAATGAAATAAACTCTCGTCTGCAGACTTGCCCATCCGGGGGTGTCTGTGCTGAGTCCCTGTTCCTGGCTCCCGCTCGGGAAACATACCCACGGCTGGACCAGCGGTGGTGTCTGGGAGCGGCAGAGTCCAGCTGTGAGCGAGCCCTCAGTGCTGAAATTGCCAGCCTCGCGCAGCCCAGAGCCAGCCCGCGGAAGTGGGCCAGCCTCACCTCCACACAGGATTAGAGGGATGTGTAATGGATTAAAGATCAAAAATGTTAATTAAGAAATGGTCTTTTCTAATAAGATGCCTTCAAGGGCACAGGCCTGAAAAGGAGGGGATTTCTCATTTTGGCAACACAGTTTCTGTTGTAATGAAATTGGTTCACAGACAGTGGGGAGGACCCGACGTAAGCCTCGTTTTAAAGACATCTCCATCCAAATTAATTAGCAATGAAAAATGAAGGGCCAAGCATCAGGTTGGCATGCAGGCAGTGTGTGGTGGCCTAGCAGGAAGGCCACGTGGATTTCAGAGAATTCCGTCTGTGTCCTGGTGCCTGCTGGAATGTCATCCTTGGTGTTGTGTCGAAGGGCATGTTCCTGGGGACCTGGTGGGGTTTGACTCTCTGGGGTCAAAGGATGAGGCCTGGTTGGCTTGGTTGCTAGGCCTAACTCTGGGTGACTTTTGGCTGTCCATGTCCTCTCTGATTGTTCCTCACGTTTCTTTTCTTATCAGTTGAGGATGACGGTGAAACTTCTTCTACCCTCTCTGGGCAGTTGGATCGAATAGATTCTTATCAAAACTCTCCATTCGGATGAGAGTGTGTATTGCTAAGGGATGTCTTTGTGCACCTGATCCAGCCTCAAGGTTGGCAACAAAAAAGTGCCTGGGTCCTCTTCTGGAATGCCCTCTCTCTGTTTTCACAGGCCTTACCTGGTTTCCAGGCTCTGAAGTCCCCCAGGTGGTTTGAATGTCTCAGGAGCACACCATAGCCTAGTGGTTAAGAATTGGGCTCTGGAGTCTGCTTGATCATAAATTCGAATTCTGGCTTTGCCTCCTGCTTGGGACCTCAGCCTCATGACTTGGCTTCTCTGAGCCTCAGTTTCCTCATCTGTAGAATGGGGCCAGCAGTCCCTTTGTCATAGCACTGCTTTGAAGCGGGCAGGGAGATAATGCTGAGGGTGTGGGATTTAGTCTGCGGTGCTGGGGGTCATTGTTTTTATTGCCGAGATGCAGAGGAATCTGTCTGTGTGTTGGTTCCAGACAGCCTTGGGTGGAGGCTGGCAGCCTCCCCTCAACTCAGGCCTGTGGCATTTTGAGTTCCTGGGCCCTCCAAGGTGCAGAACCTTGTTTTACAAGAAGCCAAAGGAGGGGGAGTCATTCAGAGCTTGGAACTTGTGCAGAAAATCACAAGACGTGAAAAAAGTGTGGATGAAGATGTCCAGTCGAGGGACTGTCATGGACTTCGCCATAGGGTCTCCCTTGGCTGATGGAAGTGTGCGTGCTTTCTTGCCCATCACAAATCTTGGTTTTTCTTTGGAGTGATGTTGGGAGCAAGCGAGAGAAGGGAGAGAAGGCTTTTACTGTTGTTATTCCCTCTGGCTGAAGGCACCCTTCTGTGCCTTGCTCCCACTTTGGACTTACTGGACTGCAAACCCTCTCTTGAAAAAAATACGTAAAACAGCCCTCATTGTCTTTTTTAATGATTTTTGCCTTGAATTGCACTTTGTCTTTTTTTTTTTTTTGTCTTTTGTCTTTTTCCGTGTCCGGCAATGGATCGCAACCCTCAGCCCTCATTGTCTTTTTTAATGATTTTTGCCTTGAATTGCACTTTGTCTTATTAATATCTGCTTTCGTTTTTCTTGCGTCTGTGTGCGACACTTTTTCTCAGCATTTTACTTTTTTTCCCATTAAATTTTTTTTTTTTTTAGAAATTGTGGTAACATACATATAACATAAGATTCACCATTTTAACCATTCTAAGTGCACAGTTCAGTGGCATTAAGTACATTCACATTGTTGTGGTACCATCACCAACATCTATCTCCAGAATTTATTTTCCCAACTGAAATTCTATTCCCATTAAATACTAACTCTGCACTCCCCCTTCCCTCAGCCCCTGGCAGCCACCACTCTGCTTTCTGTCGCTGTGAATTTGACAGTTTCAGGGTATGTCGTGTAAGTGGATTCATACAATATTTGTCTTTTTTGTCACTGGCTTATTTCACTTACCATAATGTCCTCAAGGTTCATCTGTGTTGTAGCACGTGTCATTTGTCCTTTACTTTTATGGCTGATGATACTCCATTGTGTAGATATACCACAATTTGTCCACCTCCTTATTTGTGGATGGACACTCAGGTTGCTTAATCTTTTGAGGAGCAGCCACACTGTTTTCCACAGCAGCTGCACCATTTAACAGCATCTTCACCTCTTTAAAGGTTTGTCTGCTGGTGGCATGAGAGGGAGCTTGTCATGCAAGGAGGTCTCTTGTCCTGGCCTGGGTAGAGGAAACCATTGGTAAGAGGCTGCGTGTCAGGCGTGGCTTTCAGGTTCTCTACAGCTGGGCAGGAGGGTGAGAGCTCTTTCCACCCTCCTGCTTTCCCATGCACACATCCTTCCTTTGGCTTGAGAGAAGCACCCCGATCTCCTTCCTGTCACATTTTGGCTGTGGGAGCAGGTGACCCACAGAGGCAGCCCTTCCCTGCCTCCCTGGTGCCCCCCCCGAGCTGGCAGCCACCTCAGCAAGGAGCCTTCCTGCACAGGTGGCTGTCAAAGACAAGAGGGGGCTCTCTGCTTAGTGGAGTCTGGTTGCCAGGTGTGGTAATGGCGAAGTCTTAACCCTTAACCGGGCAACTGGTGGAGAGGAAATAATGTGCTGGGCTGGTCCGTGTTCTTCTGTCGGCTCTTTGTCAGTGATGCTGATGGGGAAAATAAGGAATGGGTGGGAAGTGACCTTTAAGAAAGCAAAAATGAAAAAGAAAGCATGAGCCTAGCAATGAACATGAACGCCCCACTGCCACACCCACAAATAATGTGCTGGGCTGGTCCGTGTTCTTCTGTCGGCTCTTTGTCAGTGATGCTGATGGGGGAAATAAGGAATGGGTGGGAAGTGACCTTTAAGAAAGCAAAAATGAAAAAGAAAGCATGAGCCTAGCAATGAACATGAATGCCCCACTGCCACACCCAAATGGCGAAGTCTTAACCCTTAACCGGGCAACTGGTGGAGAGGAAATAATGTGCTGGGCTGGTCCGTGTTCTTCTGTCGGCTCTTTGTCAGTGATGCTGATGGGGAAAATAAGGAATGGGTGGGAAGTGACCTTTAAGAAAGCAAAAATGAAAAAGAAAGCATGAGCCTAGCAATGAACATGAACGCCCCACTGCCACACCCACGAAATCTCACAGTCGTAATGCTGAGGACAAGAAGCTGGACGTGACAGAAAACATAGCGTTCATTTATGTGACATATGTGTCCATTTGTGTGGCATTCGGAAACGGGCAAAGGAATATCTGTGACAGAGGTCGGGAAGTGACTGCCTTTAGAGGGCCACGTGGGAAGCTACGGCTGCCGGGAATGTCCTGTGTCTTCATCTGTGTGTACGCTTGTGTGAAACACGTAACCCAGTTAGCTTAAGATGTGTGGGTTAAGACTCAAACAGAAAGGGACATGAAAAGAAACACAGGAAACAAAACATCTTCATTTCAGAATTGTGGAGGTTGTGGGCTTTTTACTTGGCTCATTTCCCCCTAAGTTATTAGAATCATGTATTCCAAGACCAGGCTGGGGCTGGTTGCCTTGGCTCAGCCAGCGTTCGGGCTGGTGCTGAAGGTATGAACAAAGGTCCCGCACAGGCATGTCCCGAGGGTGGAGGGTACTGAGAGAGCCTGGTGTGTCCTTCTGACATCCTGAGTGACAGTGGTGTGGGTAGGAGACTGCTAGCCCTCACTCTTCCCCGATGCACTTGGAAAGTAAGACAGGGAAACTGTTTAGAGTGAGATTCAGGACACCCATCTTTTCTGCTTCCTTCTGGCCTGACCTCCATTGAATTGATCTACCCCTGTGACCTCCATCCTCTCATCTGGACAAAGGGATGGTCATTTCTGCCTCACCAGCTTACAGAGTCATTGGGAAGCTTGCATGGGATCTTTGTACCCTGTGAAGGGCTGGCTGCAGGCTTCTGTCTGGGCACCCGTGGGCTCTGGCAGCCAGGGATGGAGAGGACACATGGGAGGGGTGACTGCTGATCCACTGGGGGCCACTTCCTACTGGGGTGCCTGGGCTTGCATCGTGCCTGACGTGATCTGATGTGGGGATTTTGATTTGCAGGCCTCCCCTGACAGAGCTGGCGCTTATGAAAGTAATGCACCTCCAGGTGTCTGGGCACAAGAGACTCGGCTTGCTGGATCTCAGCCCCTTTGATGAGCGGGTTTTAAATATGAATTTGTTCATTCATTCATTCCCTCATTAAACCTTATTTGAACACTGTCACTGTGCTCTGTGTGTGTGTGGTGGGGAGGTGTGCAAAACTGGATACTATTTGCAGTTAGCCAGTTAGTAGGAGCAGAGGAGGGAGGTGGGGAGGGAGTTACTGTGTTCTCAGCACCCACTCTGTGCCTAGCTGGGTGCATGTTGTTGCATTTAATCCTCACAACAACCCAGTGAGGTGGTTATTATTGCTCTCATTTATAAGTGAGGAAACTGGAACTCTGTTGGGCAGAGTCTTTGCTACTCAAAGCGTGGTCCATGGACCAGCATCATCCTCCTGGCCTGCGAGCTTGTTGGAAATGCAAAATCTTGGGCCTCTCGCTTAACCTGCCCACTCAGACTCTGCATCTGAATATGATCACAGGGGATCCAGTGCACATGGAAGACCCACACAGGCGATACTTTTCCTCTAAAGCATACCTTCTTTAGTAGTAATAATGGTGGTCTGAATGAAGCTGTTCACCGTGATAGTACCCAGTGCAGTGCTGATCACTTCGTGGTTTATTCCCCAACAGCCTATGAGTGAGACACTATTACCATCTCCCTTTATTGCTGAGCAAACTTGGGGAGGTTTAGTAACTTGGCTTTAACCTCTCTCAGGCCTTACTGTATTTGGGAGGCAAAGAGTTTTCTCAGTGTGTATGCACATGTGTGTGCACGTGTGAGGGGAGATGTGGTGATGGCACGACGTGGGGTATTTGCAGAGATGACTCTTGGTGGAAGCAGCAGATGTGGGTCTGGTGAGAAGATAGCGGGGGTGAGGAGACCCTGGCCACCTCCTGGGAGGTACTGTCCTGCCTCCCAGAGGGGAGACTTTCTGGCGGCTCCATGTTGCCTCCTCCAAGAAGCCCTCCCTGATTCCCTCTCACAGTTTGAGTCCCCTCCTGTGCTCCCATCACCCTACCTTTGTCCTTATCACATTGTCCGATGGCTGTTTCTCGATTCCTTGATAGAGGGTGAGGTTCTTGACGACGGGGTCATGTCTTGGTCATTTTTGCATCACCCATCCCTAACACAGTTATTTTTTTTTTCACTCATTCATTTTATAAAAATATATTGGGGCCTACTGTGTGCAGAGCCCTGGCTCAGATGCCCATGGTTCCATGGTAAGTAAAGCAGATGTGGTTCTTGATCCCTGGGAATGTACTCTAGAGAGGAAAGCTTTTATGGAAGGGTGACAAATTCATTCATTCGTTTATGCATTCATGCAACGTTCATTCATTCATTCATGATTCATTCGTTCATTTATTCAGAAAACACTGGGCATTGGGGACACAGTATAAGTAAGTCAGAAGTGATCCTGGCCCTCATGGAACTTAAAGCCCACTGGGGAGTCCACAACCAGAAATCTCTCAAAGAGAGTAAGAGCTAAGGGTCAGGTTGTAGTGGGGATCCTGGCCCCGTCTGGGCAGATAGAGCAACTTCCTGTGATGTCTGAAGGAGGAGTTGGAGTTACACGCAAAAAAGACTGTTCACTTGGAATATCAGGCACTCAACCCATTCTAAACTCGCAACACTTCCAGAGTTTTGGGGATCTTGACTCCAAACAAGCACAGTGGTGAAAAGCAAGAAGGTTTGGTCTGTGACACACGTGTGTGGATTTGCAGAAGTGCAACTCCATGCTTTAAAACAGCTATTATCCCACAAAGCATATTCCTGGCTGAGACCTTTCACGAGGCTCGTGTTGTTGGGGAGCCTGTCCTGATCGTACCAGAATGTCTGTTAAGATCTGTAGAACCTGGTATGTAAGCTGACCCTGGGCTGGCTTGATGTCCCCTCCAGCCATTGCTGGCCCTTGGTTTTCATCAACTTTGAGCAATGGTATGGCTTGGCAAACTTTCCTTTTATTATTTTTTAGACTGTTTTATTGTAAAACGAAACACATATAGAGACCCCCCAAAATCAACGAATTCAGTGAATTTTCATAAGGCAAACACCGTAAAAACCACCTCCCAGGTCTATAAATAGAACGTTGCCAGCCATCCCTGAAGCCTTATTTATGTTCTTCGTCCTAGTCACAGCCCCTTCCTCCTTCCAGAAGTAACCACTAGCTTGACTTGTATAGTGATCAGTTCCTTGTATTTCTTTAAAGTTCTGTCCCCCATGTGTGCACCACGTGCTACTATCATTTAGTCTTGGGGTGTCATTCTTTAAGGAGTATGAGGGAGTAATATTTTTTGCAAGGATGACTATTTTAGAAATCCTTTAAAACAAATCCCTGATCTGGATGCTGCTAGTGTTTAGGCTCCCGGATAAACCATCTTCCACCACTGGCAGGTGAAGGTGGGACAGGGAGTGCCTACCACATACCAGGTGTCCACTCAGAGTTTAAAGAGTGGCTAGACAAGCCGGGGAAGTTTAGTAGTCATCTGGGGAAGAGGTACCAAAGTCTTGAACCAGGTTGACGATGGCTAGAGTGGGCTAACGGAGTGGAGGGAAGGAGCTGCTAGATGGCTCTAAGGGAGGAGTTTGTGTGCGGGGAGGAGGCATCTTATGTCATTCTGTCTGACTCATTTGTAACACATTTTCTCTTCAGTGCACTTGGGGACATTAGTCTCCTTGCACCTTCTGTGGCAGGTAAACCTGAATTTAGTGTTTGGGCTGTCCAGGGTGCATTGCGAGTGTGTCTTCGAGGCCATTCTTAATCAGAATCAATGGCCAGGGGGTGTTTCCAGCTGAGTCAGCTCCTCACCCCTCCACCCAAGGGGGGATGCAGAGGCAGGTGGTCATGTGTTTGGCTTGGTTTGTGTTCCTAAGAGCTCCAATAACTTGCGGAGATGTGTTGAATTTACAGACAGACGAGTTCCATGGGAGAGGGCCGTGGGAGATTTTAAAATGCTGGGTAATTAAACAGTGTTAAACTTTGGCATGGGCCGTGTAGTCCTCAGCATGTAGGGGTTTCTCATGTGTTAGAAACTTACTTCCAGCAGGTGGCTGATAAAGCCATCCTCTTAGCAGGAGCTGGGGGCTGGTCTCCTTGTTCACCTTGCTACAAGGAGCTGATCTCTACACCTTCCCTGGGGCAGGGTACGTGACAGTAGTTATGTGAATGAATTTACAAAGGGCTCCCTTTGCTAGGAGTTCAGAATCTAGGAGATGTTAATATTGCCAGTTATTAAGTTGAGTGGGTGGTAAGCATTATAAACCCATGGAATCCCCAACAGAGTATTGAAACTCAAGAAAAATGAGATTGGAAGCTCTTGGGCTCATTTATTAAGAAACTTTTATTGAAAATCTGTTTTTTGTCTTTGCCATGGAAGAGACAGAGGTCTTCGATTTGGTCCCAACGTTACACAGTCTAATGGAAAAGAAATAACTGTCATTGTACATCGTGGCAAGTCATTTATAAGAAAAACAAAACATGTAAGCACAAAGCAAGTTGTTTATTGTGTGTTGGTGACACAGAATGGGAATTCCCACCTTCCTTACTCTGGAGCCTGGAGCTGTGCTATATTTTGGTGAGGTTTTTGTTTTTTAGTAGGACTTTGGCTTTTAAAAAGTCCCATGTGCTTTAGAAGAACCCCCAAATTATGCAGCCACATGGACACAGGTTCTGCAGCCTGTTCATGTCTGACCTCCCCCTACCCTGTGCTTGCTTCCCCACCCCACTATGGACTTGTCATCAGAGGTGCTTACCTGTGTCCAGACTCAACATGGGCATTGCGCCATGTTCCCCATCCTGTTCGTGCCCCACCCCGTCCCACCCTGCCCCGTTGCCCTGGGAGGTGGTGATGGTTTCACCTGCCTCCCTTCCCCGCAGGTGTGCCAAGCCGTTCTGGACAGCCTTCAGAAGGGATGCGGGAGATGGTGTCCTTTACCAGGTAGGAGCTAGGCTGGATGAGGTGATCTCTCTGGTCACTTCCAACTTAAAGCTTCCCTGGTTCCAGCTTCAGGGAAGGACAGGGACATTTTGGGCCATACATCTGGTGGGAAGATGACCTTGAAAGATATCACAGAGCTATCATCTGTGACAGTCCAGATGCTACTTGCCTCGGATGACCTCAGGACTCAGGGGAAACTGGCTGGATTCTGCATCTTCAGGCAGGGACTGCAAAGCTGTCCTCAAGCACTTAATTATCGTGTTGCCTTGATTCTAAAATGTGTATTTTGTCACAGTCTAACATTTCTGAATTTTGGAAGCATTTTAGTGTCCATGTGTATGTTTAATGCAATGACACCCTCCTCCAAAAAAATAAAAAAAGCTGTCATTAAGTTGGTGGTGTGTCATGCATTCACAGCTTCTTAGACTCATGGGGTTATGGTAACTGCTGATGGGCAGACTGGGCTGATGCAGGCTGCCTTCAGGATTTGAACACAGAGGACCTGTGTGATTATAGCAGTGGCATCCTGGGCCTCTTTCTTTCCTAGTTACGTCTGCACACACAGATGGAGGAGGCAGTCAGTGAAGACAGCAAGTCTGAAACTTTCCAGTCTCCTCTGTGGGCTCTCACCTGAGCTTGCTTAAACACTACATTTGGCATCTCCTCCCTCACTCACAAACCTTCAATGGCTCCCTGTTTCTTCCTCCTCAAACTTGGACTTGGCCTGGCTTCCAGTCTGGCCCCTCCATCCTTATTTCTGTCTCAATCAGCCACTCACTGAGTTCCTTTCCTACCATCATAATTTTCTCCAAGGCAGGACTGTCTCTGATGTCACTTTGATCCGTTGAGTGCCTAGGACAGCGCCTAGCCAGTCAGGCATTCTAGCAGCACTCATTGGCTGATGCATAGATGTAACTGCAGCTCAGAACCGAAATCATTCAGGTCTTTTATTATTGTCAGCATCTGGGCAGTGTAACCTGAGGATTAACAATTATGGGAGAGAACTCTACTCTAAGAATGGCTAATTATTATTATTATTATTATTATTAATTAATTAATTTATTTATTTTTAACCAACTACAATTTACAAAGGGTACATAGAGGGAATGAGGCACAGAAGAGCACACCCTGTAAATGAGGGTTAATTAGAAGTCGTCTTCTAACTCTACATAGCTGGTG